ATAAAGGCAGTAATTACCAACCCATCAATTTCAGCCCACGGATATGTATAACTGTAATGAATACAGACATACTGCATTCATGTAAATTGAATATATTTAAATGAATACATCTATTGTGAATTAGACAGGAAGTACTTTCATTTAGCCATTTACTCCTGATGTAACTACTTATTGTAAAAATGCAATTATTAGTGTCTGACATTTCATTTTCTAATATAGAAGGAATCAATGAAAAATGTCAGGAAACTAAGTTTTCTGGAAAGCTGCTAGTGACACCTGCTCAATTACAAACCATTTTTAAAAAATTCAACGCTTGTAACAGTGATCTAGGAGAGAAATGGCCATTAAAAGATGCTGACCTAGACACTGTTTCCTTTTGGCTTGGGAATTAACTGCAAATATGTTCCCTTCAAAAAGATTCAGGTGATTGTCAAGCAAGTTCCCATCCTTAGGCCTTCTCGGGTTTTTCTGGAATTAATCTGAACAGTTCTAAAAAGCCGTGTTTATGTTCTACATGCTCTGAAACAGGCCTGGAAACTCCTTAAGTGATATGCTAAAACAGTATAAAGCCAAAGCCTTTCCTTTAAAAAAAGGACATGCAAAGGACACGAAAACCAGATAAATGCCAAACCTTGAAGGGTTTTCTCTCTGTTTTTCTGAACAGTTGCTATCATTTCTGATGAAAAGTCTGTGACATTTGGTTTACTTGCTCTATAACCAGAGATGTTTCAAAAGTGGTTGTGCTCACAAAGGTACCTGATTATTTGAAACTGGCTGCTCCAGGCTTCTATCTATTGAAATTCTAATAGCTAATATACTTTCAAACTTAGAGAAAACCAGCTATGTGAAAGAAATACGCTATACAGACACTCTGTGTCTCAAATCTTGAAATATTAATTTCAAGCTGGGAAAATGTGTCAAAGTAAGGGAAAATATATTAAAACGCAAGTTTTCTTTGAGAGGAAGGCATTCACATGGGCTAAAAGAAATGCTATAAACTAGATTATGTTCATTTCAAAATCATGAAATGGTATACAAAAGCCTGGCTCTGTTGTCATATTTTGGAAGAAATATGTGTCACACATCTTGTCTATTAATTATTATTCTCATAGAAATTTGTAAAACTTGTGTCATTGACTTGAAAAATTCCTCAAAAACAGAGGGAGGGAACTAGCTCAGGGGTAGAGCACACACTTAGCATGCAAGAGGTCCTGGGTTTAATCCCCAGTACCTCCATTAAAAAAAAAATTTCTCAAAAACAAAGTTTGTATACCAGTTTTATGGATACACTCTTGTTTTTTTTTTAAACAAATCAAAAATACTTGTCAACTAAAGTCAGAAAGCCTGATTAGCTGGAAACTGGGGCCAAAGTTAATACGTGTCATAATGGTAATATCGATAGTGCAGCCCACCCAGACTAAGGTGAAGAGCTGAAATACATTTTCACAGCTGCTTGAGCAGGTGGAGGAGCCATACTGATTGTTAACGCCAGCACCAACTCAACAAACCACATAGCTGTGCCCCAATCTATTGTGTGTGTGTGCACAGTACATAGAGACTCTAAAAACAGATCCAGCAGCAACAGTACAGAAGTTGTGGGTCCACTATAAAAAAGGGTAATAGAAAACTTAGAATCATCACATAGGCATGCAATTGGAAGGGACCTCAGAAATTTTTTTTCCAGATAAAGAAATTTAATCCCAAAATTTGTTGGTTTGCCCAGATTCATGTAGAATGAGTAGCAGATTTGGGTGAATTCAAGTCCGTGACTCCAATCTTTGAGACCAATAGCAGAGCCACTAATTTGATAAGGTCTATTTCCTTATTTGGAAGAGGAGATTGATCTAAAGGACTAGATTTTTGTGTCTCTGAAACTTGAAATGTGTAAGTGAGTATCCACAGTCCATAAGCTGATATAGACATAGGTATACAGATAAAGATATTCTCTTTCCTTTCTCAAACCACACAATCAAAATCTATTTAACAACATATTTAGAAAGTGTGTTCTGACCCTTGGAATGCCAGAAACAGAAAATTTTCAGTTTCAAACCATCTCCTACACAAAGAGACAGACAGAATCACTCTCAGTAAAGGACTTCCTCTTCCCTTTATTCCCCTAAGCTTAAAAAAAAATTAAGAGCTTTTTTAGTCCATAGTTGTTAGTTAGAGATAGTTACAGTGGATTGAGCATCAAACTTGGCCAGTATTAAAACTGGCTTTAGAAAGGAGGAAGCTACCTTCTTTTCTGACACTGGACAGATATTTTAGATAAAAGGGAAGAAAAAGCAAAAGATAAAAGAATTCATACCTAAAGTAA